ATCTTTTTGTCGTGTTCCAGCCAATTCTAGATTATCTTAGGTAGTTTCAATATTTATTTGACTATTGTCATCTCTATTTTCTGTTACTAGTCTCACATGTTCCCTTTTGACGTTGCCTCAAGGACAGGGAAAACATTACTTGCCAAAACCTTTGCTCGCTTTGTGAACGTTCCTTTTGTTATTGCAGATGCTACTACCTTGACTCAGGCAAGCTGCGGACTCTTGATTGTTGTGATTAAATGTCTTTATTACTTACCTGCTTAAATGAATTTATTTCCTATTCTGGTGCTTTTTACTTTCTTATAATTATCTGTGCAATGAACAAGTTAGTAGTGTTTTCTTAAGTGTAATAACCTTCATAGTCATGGAATTTTGTTCTGTTTCTCTTTTTCTGATGTACTTCTAGGATTTTTTTTTGTCTTATCAGTGTAAATGAGCATGATTTGGATGAAACTTAGTTAACAAAGATGATCAAATTGCTCAATGGAGCATACAAACATTGAAAGCAAACTGTGTTTTCCCTTCAATTGTACTGTCTCCCCCACCGCCAGCCTAAGGATATTTTTGGAGTATTATTTAACACCAGAGTTTGATGCTCTGGGTATCTCTTTGCCCGTATCAGCTATAGACAATCATAATAAAATATGAATTTCTTTGGTATGTTTTATTTTTGATGAAATTAAGAGTGAATATATGTTTTTATTTGATTCATTGTTATTATTCTTCATATATTTTCTAAAAATATTTCATCATTGATTATGCCTCTCCATTTGGCATTTGGTTATTTACATGTGTTTTACTTGGAACTCAGTTGTGTCTTTTGAATGCTATGTGCAGGCAGGGTATGTAGGCGAAGATGTTGAATCTATATTATACAAGCTCCTTGTGGTAAATTCAAGAGTCTTATGCACTCTACATGAATTAAAAAGCTTTGAAGTGCAACTATTTGTTCATTTCATGATACCTTTTAATGGCATGCATTTTCTATCTTTACTGAAGTTAGCTTTGTTATTAATGGAAGAATATAATATTTGGATTAGATTAGTCTTGATATGTTTAACTTTAAAGTAGCATTAGTGGAAGTGACAAATTTTGGAGTAGATATGAAAGTCAACGCAAGGCCAGCAAATGTAAATGGGACTTCTTTTATCTCATGAGAAATTTGTTGGGATTTTACACTTATGCCTGTTGTTGATTAATAGCCCTTTATGAGTTTTCTTTTATACACCTTTTCAGGTTGCTGACTATAATGTTGCAGCTGCACAGCAGGGCATTGTTTACATTGATGAAGTTGACAAGATTACCAAAAAGGTTCCTTCCTTCATCTTTGCAAAATTCTGTTTTATTTTTTATTTTATTTCTCTTTCTTCATCTCTTACTTCTTGCTATGCAGGCTGAGAGCCTTAACATTAGCAGGGATGTGTCTGGGGAGGGTGTTCAGCAAGCATTGCTAAAGATGCTGGAAGGAACAGTAAGTGCATGGTTTACTAACTGTGGAAGTAGTATATTGCAAATGACAATTAGAAGCTGTGGCACCGGATTTTAGGATTATTATCTCAGGTTATGGATCAACTTCAGATCAGATGAAATTGCAAGTTGTCAATTCATAAGCCAACTAATCACTAATCGCAATTAGTATTTAATCAGATTGATTTAATACTAAATGGTTCACTATCCTTATCCATGGAGCTTTTTTTGATGATCCAGATTGTTAATGTTCCTGAGAAGGGAGCTAGAAAGCATCCTAGAGGTGAAAATATTCAGGTATATACACTCAAAGTTCTAACATTGTTTGATGGGTGTTTACTTATTTATATTATGCACTATGTCAAGCACATGATATTCAATGTTGTTTTTTTTTTTTTCAAGATTTAAGCAGCACTTCATGATGGCAAAATCCTTATGACTCTGGTTTTGCTAGGTCATGCATTTTCATGCTATTGTTGATTTTTTTTTTTTTTTACGCTTTCACAGATTGACACAAAGGATATACTCTTCATATGTGGGGGTGCCTTTATTGACATAGAGAAAACAATCTCAGAAAGGTTATACCAATATAGAAATTGCAATATTTGTGGCCATTACTTTTAACATACAGAACCTTTTTACCCAATGTCAATTTAAAGTTTCTTGAATGCATTTCAGACGCCAAGATTCTTCTATTGGTTTTGGAGCCCCAGTGCGTGCAAACATGAGAGCTGGTGGTGTTACAAATGCTGTTGTGGTGTCATCTTTAATGGAGACTGTAAGTGCTTTATAACATTCAAGATGATTATTATCCATAAATAGCTTAGACATTAACATTTTAGATACTCACATCCCCCCTCACTCCCCTTTTTTCAATAAAGAAGCCCTGGTCGGAGCCCTCTCTGACTAGGAAAGGAAAGAATCTCAATTTTATGACAAATCAGGTTTGATGGCTGTTCTCCACTAACCATGTGTTTGGCAGGTTGAAAGTAGTGATCTCATTGCATATGGTTTGATACCGGAATTTGTTGGACGATTCCCAGTTCTTGTCAGTTTATTGGCTCTAACTGAAGAACAACTTGTTCAGGTGAATGATTTACTTTGTTCCTTGTTCTCCAGTCTGCAAATTATATTTTTCTAATAATATTTTACTAGGTTGCTGTGGGATGGTGAAGAATGGCAGGAAAAGATTGATACTCTATTGCAGTCATAAATTTTACTTCTTTTATTTGGTTTCATGAATGAAAAGTGTACTTGTCTTACCTTATCCTTTATCTCTAGACATGTTTTTTGAAAAATATAATGGAAGGTCAATGGTCTAAGCAATTTGTCTACTTAACTATGGCCTTTGAAGGTGCTACTATTGTTATTTTAAAATATTCGTTTCTTGCACAAGTCCTGCGATTGTTATTTAGCTTCCTATGCGACTCTTACTGGTACCAATACTTTTTTTAGGTCCTAACAGAGCCAAAAAATGCCCTAGGCAAGCAATACAAAATGATGTTCCAAATGAATGGCGTAAGTTCTATATATGCCCTTCTTTGAAATGCTAATTCCATTTGTATTCAGTACATTTAATTTGTCTGCAATTATTTATAGCCAATTTATTTCACTTTGATCTTCTTTCTCTCAGGTCAAATTGCATATAACAGAAAATGCTTTGAAATTAATTGCCAGAAAAGCAATAACTAAAAATACAGGGGCCCGGGGCTTAAGAGCCATCTTGGAGAATATCTTGATGGATGCCATGTATGAGGTATGTTGTGTTATGCTATTCTGATTTTTGTCATCAGCTATTGAGACCCATTGAGTGCTGGTGTTCCAGTTGGAAGCCAATGTTAGTGCATATGGCGATTTAAATGAACAAAGTTATTCAAGTTGGTTATGCTTGATATGGCTTGTTTATTAAATGACTCTATATGCTATTCAAGAATTTCTGGATGCATAAATGTGGTGCTTTCACCAATCTATGTCTCATATTGAACTAGGAAATTTTGGTGGCTATTAGAATTGTGATAATGACTAGAATTATATTCTAAACTTATCTTATTAGAACTCAGAGGGCCTTTCTTGAAAGGACTTCTCTGTTTCTCTTGCGACGGACCCTACCATCTAGAGAAATGTGTCGGACAATTAGAGCCATCTTTTTTGGCATGCTTTGGCCTTAAATGTACTTGGGCACTCCTATGGCAAATCCTCTGAATGGAAGGACCATTTCCAGTTCATCCTTCTATGGGCCCCCACTTTGGTGGGACCATAACTGTTTAATGACTTGTTCTCTCTCCAATCTAGCACTTAGCCATGCCGAACTTCTTTGCTATCTAAACCAAGCCCCAGTGGCGTGGTTGAGCTCAGCTTGATGCTTTCATGGGCATGCATCTTGCGAAATACAGCAGAAAAGTTTCACTAAACTTTTAGTTTGTGGGTTAAACAAACACAAAACTGTGACTAGATTGAACTAAACAAGGTGTCACCGAGTTAGATTGCATCTCTGTTCCTTCCGATGACTCTTCAAGTACATATTTGTTTTGGACCGAGTGCTTTTCTGATACCATGCAACTTTAATTTAATGGATTTTGTTATATCTCTGCTTGCAGATACCGGATGTTAGGACTGGTGATGATGTAATAGATGCAGTGGTAGTTGATGAGGAGGACGTTGGATCCCAAGGCCATGAAAGTGGGGCTAAGGTTCTTTACGGTAAAGGTGCATTAGACAGTTACCTTTCACAACACAAATTGAAGGACTTGGAGGTGTGTATGGCTTGAGCACCATTATTAATGTGACTTTGCATGTAGATCAGTATTTATGAAATGTCAGTAGCTAATATTCAAAATTCTGTGTTGCAGACAACTATGGAGGGACCGGATGGGATGCCGGATGTGGAAACGGAGCTTCATTCAGTTGTTGCCAGCATGTGATATTTTGATGAAATTGTAGATGTAATTTTATTGTACATGATAAGTTCACATTAATTTGAATAGATGATTATACAATGATTATACATACAATTACTACCATTTTGTGGAAAAAAATGCAGTTTTTTTTTTTTTTTAAATTGAAAAAAATGCAGTTTTTAATTCTACTTAGCAGGTAGCAGGTAGCAACCAACCCCATCTCCCAAATGAATTGATTGATACCAGCCCAGTTATATCAATAATATGGTGATAGAAATTCAGTGTTATTTGATGACTTTAATGCTATTTGATTCATTCAAGATATTATTTTAAAATTATCATAACATTATAAATTGTACTAATTCGAATTAAATTTGATTATTATTATATTCATATTTATTTAATTTGTATTAAATATATGTAAATTAAAAAAATATTATTTTATAAGTTAAGTTGACAAAATAAATATTATATATTTTTTATTTTTATTAATTTATATATATTTTTAATTTTAAATCTTTTTTATATATTTTTTAATTGTAAAATCAAATCCAAATGAATTTTGTTTTGTTTTATTTTATTTTTCTAAATAATTATTTTACCGACATGACCTCTACATAGAAAAAAGGGAAAAAAGAACATCAGATGCAACTTGCAACTGTTATCCTCGTTCCTTACCGGTTACTATCGGTACGTAAAAAAATCGAAATACTCACTAGGTATTTCTTAATAACTGCACAGCGGTGCTGGTGGAAAGTAGATGGAGCAACAGCAATTTGTCAACATATATAATTATGATTTTTTCCCGTTACTTCAGTTCAAACATCCTTAAACACTGTTTTTTTTTAAAAATAAATCTAAAATATGTGTTGTGTCTTAACCCTTTTTTTTTAGTTTATTTATTTATATACATAAAGAACCGTTTGATTTTACCCCATCATCCACCGTTGAAACTTTGAATTTTCACGATCAGCCCTTTTCCTCTCTCTTTCTCTGAAATTGCACCGAAATCTTGGAGGAGAGAGGAAGTAGTCGACAAGCGTAGAAAAAATAAATCCATAAATAAAAAAGAAAGGTGTTATGTTATGTTACCAACAAGACCGATACAAAGAAAATAAAAGAAAAGGGCTAGCGAAGAAAAGAACCGCTTCTTAAGAGAGAAACGAGGGTTGTTTGGTTCTTTGGAATCCATTTTTCTCTCCCAAATCTCTTCTCTCATCATCCCTTTCTCTTTCTCCTCTCTTTCTCTCTCTCTTCCTCTTCCTCTAGTCCGTAATTCAAGAAGAAAAAAAAGGTGAGAGAGGTAGGAAAAGAAAGAGAATTCTGAGAGGCAAAGAATTTCAAATAAATAACAGAATCTGAGATTTTGGGTGGTGTCTGTGTTTTTGAATGGAGTTGGATAGTATCGAGTGTGTGTCATCCACAGATGGAATGGATGAGGATGAGATCCATCACCATAATCTGCACCATCCACATCCTCATCATGGCCACCATCAATTCTCATCGTCAAAGCCTCACAACAACACCAACAACGCTAACATCATCAGCAATATTGTGGGTGCTACGGCGATCGCTCCGGCTACCAGCGTCCATGAATTGTTAGAATGCCCTGTTTGTACCAATTCTATGCACCCACCAATTCATCAGGTCTGTTTTCAATTTCATTGTATTTTTGTGTATTGCAATTTTGGGGTTTTTGCCTTTTTCTTTCTATTGTTGTTTATTTTTCTATTTTTGGTTGATTTTGTTTAATTTGATTGGTTGATGGGTTCGAATAGATTTGCTTTGTATTTAAATGGGATTTCATTATATTTTGTTGCTATGAAGGAAATTGATTTGACATTGTTTCTTGGTTTGGTTTCAGTTTAGAATTTTTTGAAGCCCCATTGTTAATTGTGGAAAGTATTGTTTGTGTTATGGTTTCTTTTAAATTTTAACATGAATTATGGATTTTTTTAAAAATTTTTTTTACATATTGCTCTAGCAGAAGAAATTGGAGTTCTTCATTGATGTTATGAATTTGTTATTAGCATGGTTTGTAAAATTGAAATGAACTTTGTATTGATGCCTAGAACGAAAAGATGAAGTACTTATGATGCAACATATTTACATAAATAATTGTGACTTAAAACTGGATTTAGCCATTAATGGATTGATCTTGCTGCTAATACATAGTCACTTTGTGATTTTGCTTATATTTACTGTGAGAATAACATGTTAGATTTCATGTTTAAGTTTAATAGAGGTGATTCTTACATATTGGATTACTACATTGACAGTGTAGTAATCCAATTCATATTGCACTCGGTTCAAGTTTTCAGGGAAAAACTTGGGATAGTCTAGTTTTCAGGGAAATTTTCTGGGATGGTTTAAGTTGTTCCCTGAAAACTTTAACAAAATTAGACAGCCAGGAAAAACTGCAAGTTCCACTCTAAAGGGGGGAACTGGTTACTTTTTCATGTCGAGAGTCTTTTCAAATTAGAAATGTTTTGGATTGGTAGAGGATATTTTCAGACTGGGAGGTTTGCTTGTTTATTGTTATTCTCTAGCAAATAGAGAAACAAGAAATATTTTGATAATTTGAGATTTTCTGTTTTTGCTTGCTTTTATGCAGGAAAGATGTTGCCTTGGAACCCTTAGATCTCTAAATTTTTGTTTGATTAGATTGCAAGGATAGATAATACTATTAGATAGCAAGGGTATATTTATAAATAATAGCGGATAAATAGCTCTCTTTAACACAACAGCTTTTTGCAGTGCCACAATGGACATACGCTTTGTTCTACCTGTAAAACAAGAGTACACAATCGGTGCCCCACTTGTAGACAGGAACTGGGTGATATTAGATGTTTAGCATTGGAGAAGGTGGCAGAGTCCCTTGACTTGCCTTGCAAATACTACAATTTGGGATGCCCAGAAATATTTCCCTATTACAGCAAACTCAAACATGAGGCAATTTGTAATTACAGACCATACAATTGCCCATATGCTGGATCAGAGTGTTCTGTTGTTGGGGATATACCCTTTCTGGTTGCCCATCTAAGAGATGATCACAAGGTGGACATGCACACTGGCTGCACATTTAACCATCGTTATGTGAAGTCCAACCCCCGAGAAGTAGAAAATGCTACTTGGATGCTAACTGTAAGTTTATAATTTTTTTTATAGCATTTACTATTTTTCCGAAGAAGCCCCCACTACATTTTAACACAATAACAAGAAGTGCCCCATTGTTCAGCCAGCCATGCCATGCCATGCCATGCCATCTTTTGATGAATCATTTCAGGGAGGGTCAGATACAATAGAGGCACATTGCAACAAGCTGAAGAAACTATTTTCTTATAAATAAAATTCTCTGGGCTTTAATAATCTTCTTAATATGATCCTCAATCTGCTAGCGTATCTGCTTTGTCAGGTATTCCATTGTTTTGGTCAGTATTTCTGCCTTCACTTTGAAGCCTTCCAGTTGGGCATGGGCCCTGTCTACATGGCATTTCTTCGTTTCATGGGTGATGAGACAGAGGCTAGGAACTATAGCTACAGCCTTGAGGTTGGAGCCAATGGTCGGAAACTTATATGGGAAGGTACTCCACGTAGTATCCGTGATAGTCACCGGAAAGTTAGGGACAGCCATGATGGTCTAATTATCCAACGTAACATGGCACTTTTCTTCTCCGGTGGGGACAGGAAGGAGCTAAAGCTGAGGGTTACAGGAAGGATATGGAAGGAGCAACAAAATCCAGATGCTGGTGTGTGCATACCAAACTTATGTAGTTGAGAGAATTGATTTTGATAACTTTTTCTTGATTTCTATGAACGCTTTCTGCTGTGTTTTCTACCTCTGCCAACCCTTTCTGGTATGTTGTAATGGATGGAAGTTTTCAGAAGGCTTGAGAAGTTTTCATCTTCTATGAAATGTGTAATAAGCATATTTTCTTCATTAACCTTCTGTTTTCAATAATATGAGCATTAATATAGTGCATTCATCCTGTTATTCTAGCTGTTTAGTCATGGTGATGTTACAAAATGGGCAAGCTTTAGATGGAGTAAGAATGATTGCGAAACCATCTATAAATTAGTAATAAAATCTGTGCAAAATCCAGATTAAAATGGGATCCCTTTTGAAAGTTTTCAACTCTTTGTTGAATCTCTTCCTTTTTGTCTTCGAACTCTCAAATTCTCCCCTCCGCACTTGGGATCAAGACATTGGAAGTCTTAAACAAGGCAGTTTACTACTTTGATTGCCATCAAATCCATTTTTATTGCTGCAAAACCATTCATGGCACAAACCAACCCATCCTTTCCCCCGGTTTACCAGTGAAAACATCAATCTACCTTCTTTGCATCCCCCAATATCTTTACTTTGCAAGATTCCTTCTAGTCTTTTTACTTATCAAGTTTACTTCAATAAGAAGTCTTCTAGCGAAGCAATTTTTAGATCTAAGTTTCCGCTATAATCATGCGACATTGCTTTGCTTTCAAACCTCTTATTATTATTATTATTATTATTATTATTATATAATTTTTAAGATTGGATAATTTACCATAATTGGTAAAAATTGAATCCCATCAACTTAATTTCCTTGGAGAAACTGAATCTAGTGATCGCTAATACACCAGCGGAGTACGGTGCAATAAGAGATGGAGTGCATGTTCGATGAACAGAGCTAAATAAGAGACCAAACAGCTTTGAACTACAACAATGAATTTTTTTCTTCTTTGTAGGTTGTACTCGAAGGTCCAAACATCTTTGATCTTCAGTATTAACCAATGGGCGGTGAAGTGCTGCTGCTGAATTATGGTGAAGCCGTTCGGTGATTAGAGTGAGAATTGCCTTGCCTGAGAAAAAGGGAATTGCTAGAATGCTAGAAGAGTTGGGAAGAAGCTGTACTTTGAGGGACAAAGTACTGGCTATGCGCCCTTTATGAACAGGCTGTAGACCTATGAGACTAACGAGAATTTCAGTGTAGACCGTAGAGAGAGTGTCGCAAAAGAGGTGCAATGAAATTGAAAGCGCATCCGATTCCACCGCACCTCAAGTAAACAAAATAGCACGAGGTTGGGGTAGAGAAAAGACTACACAATTTCAGAAAAGAAAAGGTTAAATTCTGTATAAATGAAACGTGCTTACCAGGCTCAATAAGATTCCATCTTCAGTTTTTGTGTATGGTGGCCAAAAAAAAAGAAAATTCTTCGGGGGCTCAAAAGGCACCAATGAAGATAAGCATGGCCACTATTCGAGCACTAAAACCAGGGAGCTCAACACAGAATCTATAGCACTTTGAAAAAATTGTGCCACTTGCAATAATTATTGAATCGGAATTCCCACTAATAATTAGAGATTATAACGTGACTCTAAAACCAGATTTTTCAATATCCACTAATTACACATAAATTGATTAGAGAAGCATATAACTTTACGCCCATAACCTTTCAAAACCATTGAGATCTTCCATGCTCTCTTCTGCAACTTCACTTGTAGACCACGTTTCATCAGAATGGCTTTGTATCAACAGCATCAGATTGTGCAACAGTAGCTTAACAAGGTGAATTTGTATCAACAGCAACAGACTCTATAACAGTAGCTTCCTCAATAGGTCCTTCACTCCCACTTGTGCTTGTGCTTCACCTCCAGCATCAATGGGGTTTTCAGTGGCCAGAGTAGACTCACATTCATCTTCTTTTTTCCCAAACAACTTAGATAGAAATAAAGAAGAGACGGCAGCTTTTGCACTTCTCTTGGCTGCTTCCGCAGCCTCAATTTCTCTACCCTTAGCTTCAGCCTTCAGTCTCTCCTTTTCCTCCATAAGCTTAGTCAAATCCTCTTCTCCCCCTTCCTTTACTCTTCTTTAACAAACTCTTGCAAGTCCTCACTAAAATCAGCACTTTCATCATCCAACATCTGGTCAACCATTTTCAGCACCTCACCCAATTTCCCCTCATCACTAAGTGCTTTCACCATAAACTTATAGCTTGCATCATCCATTTTAAGCTTCTTTACCATTGTATTATAAAACGATTTTGCCTCATCCACCTTCCCCACTTTAACCAATTCATCAACCAATCTATTATAAACAGCCAAGTTTGACCGCAAACCTGATTCCACCATCTTTCTAAAATAACAAGCACCAACATCAATCCTGTTCACTTTAAAACAAGCATCCATCAGCAAAACAAAAGTATACTCATCAGGGCTAACTCCCTTATCACCCATTTTACCATAAAGCTCATCAGCTTCACCCAACAGACCATTTGGACACAACGGATCAATCAAATTGTTAAATGACAAAGTATCTGTACTACACCTATAATCACCCATTAACCTAAAAACCTCCATTGCTTCCTTAAACTTACCTTCTGCACAATATCCATCAGCAATCACATTAAGGCTTCCCAAATTCACTGCTAATCTCATAGGAGGACTATGCTCATTTTTCATTCTATCAAACAACCTTAAAGACTCATAAAACTTCCCATTCTTACTTAAAGCGTCGAGAACATAGTTATAAGCAACAGCACTCATTTTTATCTTTGAATTCTCCCCACAAGCTTCTTCATAACACTCCATAGCTTCCGTCTCCATTCCCCTCATGAAATACCCTTTCATTAAACTCCCATAAACCACCATCTTTCTTCCCTTAACACCTCAAAAAGCCAAAAAATTCCATCTGAATCGCCACTATTGGCACAATCCAACATCAAATAACTATGAACAACAGGGTCAGGAGCCAAATCTTTCTCCGCCATTTCCTCCTTCATTTCCAAAACCTTCTCCAATTTCCCATTATCCACCAGCCCCTTCACTAAAATCTTATAAATAGTAGGAGAGGGATTCACCCGGTACTCATAGGTAAACTGCTTGAAATTTTCGAGGGCAGTATTAGGTTTTTTACAATCAAGATAAGTTTGGAAAATAAGATTGTGGGAATCACATAGGGAGCAATTCCGGCTAGGGTTATGTAGCGGTGGAGAGAGGAGATCGTTGTATTTGGATTGGCGAAGCTGGGCGTTTAAGACGTCGTTGACAGTGTCAATGGCGGGGCGACAGAGTACACAGAATGGCGCGTGTACAGAGCGGCTTCATCGAGGTCGTTTTCACGGATGCGTTTTAACATCTTTCTGTGGAGGTTGAGGCGGTTACCGGTGAGTACAGTGACGGGTTCGGGGAATTTGGAGGCGTTAGGGTTCTGAATTGGTTTTGGTTGGGCCACCCGCTGGGCCCATTGTTGAAAGCGGTGGACAGATGAGAGCGAGGGTTCAACGCAAAGACGACGCTTGCAGCGACGGCGTCCGGCGGCAGCATCTTATGGGGTGTTGGATGACAGATGGCGAAGGCCAATGAAGGAGGTGGGGTTTGGCTAGGATTTTGAGATGGGTGAGGAAGGTGGGCTTGGAAAGTGCCATTATTTTCAGAGGTGAAAGAAAGGAAAGGAAGGGATTTTGTGAAGATTTGGGGGGGGAAGGGGGGGGGGGGTTTGGTTGGGAGCGTGGGGGTAATTTGCGAAGGTTCTGCTGAGGTTTTAGGAGACGGCCAATGTCAATGGCAATGGATTGGGTGGTGAGCCGACGACTGATGAATAGTAGATTGGGTTTAAACTCTAGGATTTGGGTTGTCTTAGGAAGTGTTTGGGCCTAAGTTATACTGCATTACTTTCTGCTAAAACTGGCCCACTATACAATATTTCTTTTAGGTCTACCTTTTTTTTTTTCGTTCTTGGGAGGAGATTGAAACATTGAAGATCACGGTTATTGAATTATTATTTACACTGATTATTATAAAATATTATTACATAGGATTAAACTAACAGATTGATATTTGTATAAATTTATATGAAATTGTTATTGATGTTTGAAAATTATGAATTCACATGAATTTATGCATGTAATATCATAAAAAAAAAGTTTGACAGTACTCTCAACCATCTTATAAGAACAAAAACAATACTCATGACATATTACATAAATGATGAGTCCTTGCACACTTAAATTGATAAAAGGATAAAAGAATTTGACTTAAGATTAAGACTATACTCATGTTATTATTCATTTCTAACTTCCCATGATTCGGTTAGGAGTTAGGACCAATTAAAAATGAAAGCTCCTGCAGACTTAGGTTGGTGCATGAACCAATAAGGCGTTGCCTCAAAACCATGACATTACTAGCCGAACCTCATGTATGATGTAAAGCTTTCTTGTCTGCATTTGGTTGTATTCACGGGTCCAACAATTATGTTGGAAATTTTGAATATAATTGTAAATACATGAATATATCATATAATATAATAAAAAAAATCACGAAAAACTTAAAATGTAATTGCATGGATCTAGAGAGTTACATATTTACTCTACTTATACTTGAGAATTATTATATGTACCTAACAATTGTATAAATAATTATATGTGATTATAAGCTGTTATATGCATTTAATAATTGTATAATAATTGAGCTCTGGAAATATATTAATTGCATGACTTATTTTCTTATATGAACTTGATGTAATAAAAAGAGAAAACATTCTTAAAAACATGAAAGTTTGACACTCATTCTGTGCCAGTGAAAAATGTTGGGATAATTGCCCATAATTGGTGGTTAAACGGCATTTAGGAAAGTTTTTGGAGTAAACATGAAATTGCCTTAGGGAGTTTAAAAACAAAATAAATGCCGCTCAATTTTTTTTGTCTTTTTGTTAATCATAATGATATTCGGCCATTAACAAAAGGAGGAGAAAAGTTTGTTTCTTTTTACAACACAACTAAAGTAGAAAGAAAAAGAGAGAGCAATCGGACAGGTATTGAACAATTTTCAATGAAGAATTTTTGTATTTGATGTGAAGAACTTATGCTGTGAAAACGAATAATTTTCGTATAGTGATGTTGTTTAACAATCAGTTGTTAAAGTAAGACTTTTGTTTTTGTTTTCGTTTTCGCTCAATAATTAAATATATATGATTATATTCGCGTGTGTGTATATATATTGCATGTAAATTTAACTTACATCTTATTCTCCAAGGGTTTTGCTTTGCAACTTGATTGATGGAAGTGTAATGTCCATTTATAAGCAGCCATTCACAATTCCCGGGCTTAAAAGATTTCAACTGGAGCCTCCAGAGATAGTTCAGATACAGGCAAATGTCGGTACCATACTATACGGGGCTTTATATAAGCCTGATGCAACAAGATTTGGACCTCCACCATACAAAAACTTGATAAGTGTGTATGATGGTCCTAGTGTACAGCTTGTTTGTGATTCATGGATAAATGCAGTTGACATGAGATCACAATATTTGCGGAGCAAAGGCATTTTAGTTTGGAAGGTCTGTATTTTCTGCATTGGCAAATTTACGTGCCTGATTATTATTCTTTTCTTCAAGAAAAGTTTAATTCCTAATATCATATGACTCTAGATTAGGATATATGACTATTGCTGACAAATATGTGCTGTTCCTCCAACAAAACGTAAGGGGGAACTAGGTAATTACTAAGCTTATTGCTGGCATCCCTTTTTTTTTTTTCTGGCATTCAAATTTTAGCTAGTGTCGCAAATATGATGTCATATCTATGATTTCAGTTTATTTGACGTTCACTGCAGTTACTCATGCTCGTTCATGTCCCAAATATGATGTCATATTTCAAACTGTTCATGAAGATCATTACAACATCTTCCGCATCCCATTACTTCCTTGCCTGACATATGGCCTTTGCAGTTAGATAATGAAGGAAGAGCTAGACATGGACTGAAGTTTAAGGGCTGTCTCAAAAACAGCATTAGCCGAGTTGATGCTGAGGATCAGCTCACAGGAGCTGGCTAATTAAACAAGGGCTAACAAAGATTGATCATATTCGGTTGTACGTTTGGAGCTATGGTGGTCATCTCTCAGCCATGGTCTTGGCCAGGTTTCCTGATGTTTTGCAATATGCTGTCTTTGGTGCTCCTGTTACATCATGGATGGATAGGACACATTTTACGCTGAGAAGTACATGGGATTGCCTTCTGAAGATGCCGAGAGTTACAAGTATGGCTCTGTGATGCACCGTGTTAATAAGATGAAAAGAGGGCTGCTATAATTGGTTCGTGGCATGATCAATGGAAATGTGAATTTTAGGAACTCGGCGAGGCTCGTTAACGCACTTGTGGCAGCTCGAAAGCCGTATGAGTTACTGTATGAGCTATTGATTTTTCCAGATGAACGTCAAATGCCACCCTGTCATAGGGACCGAGTTTATATGGAGGAGAGGATATGGGAATTCATTGAGAGTAGCTTGTGAGGTAACTTCTTGTTTATACATCATCAATTATTTAGTGTTGTTTGTTGGAAAAGAGAATGATGGGGTTCATTTCTGATTTTGTGTGGAAACTTATAATGTGATTTGACAACTAAGTATTTTAATAAAATTATTGTTTAATTAGACTCCATTTGGGAGTCTAATGCAAATGCACTCTCACCGCTTTGAAAAGTGCGCTTTATAACTGTTCAATGCGCGTTTTAGAACTGGATTTTTCTTCATTAGGCTGGGAAATGGAGCCTTACGCATATCATTCTTTTATCAATGAATCTACCAGAGCATCTAACTTTAATCGAACATGTCAATTGCCATAAGCTGGATGCTGCGTTGCAAAGGTGGAAAAGTTTTTGGCAATTCTCCGGCTGATGCACAGGTTGAAAGTGAAACTCATTTAAAGGCTCAACCATCCGTCTCTAATTGACCCAGGTGCACTAGGCCATAGGGTTTTAAGCCACGAGGCCACCAACCTGTGGATCAAACTCAACGCCGATGGGATTGCTTTGATCACCAACCAATCAACAACGCAGTGGCTAAGCATTTATTTCTGTACTCAGTCACCGACACCAATAATTTTAGGCTAAGCCTCAGATTTACGTAACCAAAAAGTTGCAGGCTTGCAGCAACAACAGCCCACCAGAGACAAAGGTGGGTTTGGATCCCACTGGAGCTGCGTCGGTGGAATTGGACACCTTTTTGCCTCTCAAGTATATGATGCCACTTGGATGACATCTCAGTGCGAGTAAACTCAATGTTTGTTCAATTGGAGATCGAAATATACAGATTGCAGTGGACAAAGGAGAGTGTAGATGAGATTTATGGACCATATTACTCCTTTTTTTTTTATTTTCTAAAATATTTCAACATGTATATTTTTTGTCTTTTGTTTTTTGTTTTTAAATTTAAATTTGTTTATTTTGATATATGTTATATATATATATTTATGTTTAATATTAATTTATCTAAATAATATTTATAATTGTTATAGACATAGTTTTTCAAATATTTTGAAGTATTTTATATTTAATATTTAAAAATAATTTTACTAATTTTTAATTTATTAACCAAAAATTATTTAATATAAAATAATTTAAATAATTTATAATTATTTATTAATTTCACAAATTTAAAATACATATTATAAATTTTAGTGTATATAACTTTTAATTTAATATTTTTAATGATTATTTTTTATTAAACTTTTTTTCATCATCACAGCTGTGTTTGTATTAAAAAATATATCTCACTAGTAAAATATATCTTAGTATTAATTTTAATTTTACACTACAATAATTAATTTTATTATCATCTCTGTATTTAATTTCATTGTTTATTCAAATGGATAATGTGTCAAAATTAAGAAAAATATGTAAACATCATTTCCTTATTACAACACGATTTTGACTAGTGACCCTTGTTACAATATCATGAAAAAAATTAGAAAGATAAAATTATATTTCATACAACTAAAAACTAAAAAAAAAAGGTAAGAAAGATAATTTAAATTTAAGCCTGTAGGCCAGCCGAGAAAGCAACCCCAGTTGATGGTAACCATGACGATCCATAGATAAACTGTGCGACAGTGAATTTGCCTGCTTCAGTCTCTGAAGTGATGACCCTATACCCGGGCCATCTGACCCGTTGCCCAACTGCCGCCCCTGGCCCATAATTCATGTATTCACCATAGTATAGTGTATCCAAGGCAAATCCAGCATTCCACTCCAGCCATCCCCTAGGGTGAATGTGGTCACTCATGTACGATAACATGAACACTGCCCTAGAGTACAACTTCCATGGACGGCCTAGATACGTTTGAAAGCTACCTTTGACCGCTGCCAGATCCGAGGTGGGTAGGATCCGACATGCATGGACCGAAATACCAGTGTTTTGGTTCGGGTCCTTTCGGTTTTGGGCGGTGATTGTGTTCTTCTGGAGGGGCATGGGCTTCCGGGCGTAAATACTACAGTTCTGGATTACCACAGCGGCGTTACCAAAAATGAAATCAACAGTCCCGTAAATGTCACATTCACGGTAGAATTGGCGATTGGAGTGAACATACAAAGTGTCTTGGTATCCAATGATGTTGCATCTGTAAACCACGGCATGGTCTGCCCCAATTCGAAGAGCCACTGCCTGGTGCTTGGCTGGTCCAGCCCAGTTCTCAAATGTCATGTCCTTTGCAATAAAACCAGCTCCGCTTGCCGCTAAAAGGATCAAATAAAAAAGAAAGAATTTGTCACGAAAGTTGTACATGTTGGAGCTCATGATTATTGGACGAGAATAACATGCCAATTAGTGATAGAAGATAGCCCCATGACCCAGTCTTTTGTACGGAATTGGATAAAGAAAAGAGCGCTTTTTTTCTTTTTTTTTTAAGAGAGAGAGAGACAGAGAGGGAGAGATGAATTAAAACATTCCCATTATTCCGATTTCCAATGAGCTTCAGCCTCAATAGTAATTCAGTGGCAATCAACAATAACATATCTAAAGCAATGTTATTCCATTTCCAATCATTTCCCAACGGTTTCCTATTCCTCCCCCCCCCCCCTCTCCGCCACCAAAAAAAAAAAAAACTGTTCTGTTTCAGCTTTTTAGAAGAGCAAATGTAATTTTCAATTGATAAGAGACGATGAACTGGCTACAGAAATCTAGTACTTTGTCTGTCTATAACAACAGCCCACGTGCACCTGTAAGTCATGCATGGTTAATGGTTTGGGTCCGACGTTTTTCTTCCTTTTTTATTTTACCTGAAATAAATAAAAGGGTAAACAATAAACTGACCGAAGACAGCGGTGTGGAAGGTCGTCATGTTGTCAAATACACTCTTTCCTCCTGTAATGACTGTTTGACCCTTACCGTCACCTATAAACATCAAGTTGATTTTCTTCCTCCCCACCTTCAAATTATCCTCTTCATACCTGTTATATAGTATTAAATTTAATACTAAAATAAAATATTTCATCTTCAGAAAGTTGTCATTATAAACAAGAATTGCTTTTTTTTTTTTTAACTATGATCGTTGTGTGAAGTAAAAAATATGCAATCATGAATTGGAAAAAGAACAAGATAGGAAAAGGTTTTTGGTAACGAACTACAAAATGTGCAGTACTTCAAGGCTACTTTCGTCGTTTTAAGAAATAAAACAACGCTGGCGAAAAAGAGGAAGAAGAAAAATATGGAAAGGTGATTTCAGAAAAAGCCAAAAGTGAAAAAGCTGTCGTAGCGTATTTGGATCTTTTTGATCACCAATTTACCTTCCTGCTCTCACGTAAATGATGATTCGCCGAGGACTATGCTCTGGCGCCTTTTTAATCGCCTCAGTAATCGTCTTAACCGTGCCGTTCCCATCTTTCGAAACGATTATGTCAGCCTGGATCGCCGACACTGGAGTGTTGAGCAGCTCCCTCTCTTTCCTTCCCAGCCATTTCGGGAAATTCTCCTCGTGGACATTTGCTCCCGATATACCGTCATACGAAGCCAGCAACCTCCTGTTATGTATCGGCACTCCCGCGAAATCGTCTCCGCCACTCGCCACGAAAATCGACAAGCAGTTGCTTACGAGTTCCGACAAGTCCTTCAATTTCTCGGCCACTTGGTCCTTGGCCGCCCCGCTCACTCCATCAAATCCCTCCGTACACGTGTCCTGGTTCGTCAAAGCCGCGCTAAGCCACGTCATCACGTCTTGATTGGACCCGCCTTTTTTATCGTCGTCCCGAGAAGGAATAACGGAGGAGAGAGAACGGGAGAGGGCGTCGACGGAATCTTCCAGAAGCTCGAGGCAGTCGTCGTATGCCGACCGTACACGTGTATCCATCAGGACGTAGAACAAGGACGTTGTCAAATAAAGAGCTTTGCTGAAGTGCTGCAGCGTCATATTGAAGGAAATGTGAACGAGGTCTTGCTCACTAGCAGTGAGCGAGCCAGGGAATTCAAGGAGTGAGTTGACACAGAGGCTCGGGAACCGAGTTTTGCTACATGTCTTGGAAATGGCTTGGGTGGGCTTACGACGGATTTGGGTGCCAACTGGGTCGGCGCCTCCTCCACGGAGCCCAATTAGGAGCCCAGCACACACAGCCGAGACAACGATCATAGCCAACGCAATAACTGAAACGCAAACAAGCTTTCTCTTTTTGTTTTTGGCCATGGGTTCTTCATATTCTTGTTGTTGTTGCTGCTGCTGAGGAAGTCCAGAGCCTCCAGGTTGTGATGGTCGGAGCCTGTCATACTCCATTGCTCTTTTCTTTTCTTTTCTTGGTGGTGGCTGCAAAATCAGTAATTTAGTGAAAGAGAATAGAAATGAGAGGTGGCTAAAAGCTATTAATCTTACTACAACAACGTGATAGAGCTAAGAGAGAAGTGAAGTGAGACGGTCGGTGTGAAGTCTATGTCGCCAGCATGAGCTGTCCTCTACTTTCAGCTCTCTTTTGCCCACTGGCCGGGATAGGCTAGAAATTATGCTTCCCTCCCATCACTATAGATACGTAAATCGTTTTACTTTCCTCATCTTTTTCTGGATTTGAAAAGTGGATGACAAATATATTAATAAATAAATTATATATGATAAATTAAGGAAATAACAGAGAACTTTTTGTTTGCTTTTAAGCATTCAAGTTAAAGACTTGGTAATTAACAATGAGTGGATTTGTGGGGAATTTTTTAATGGATTGTGATTCATAAAAATGTCGATTAGTTGTGAACATCCTTCTACTTAACAGAAATTTCTGAACGTTAATCTTTTTTTGGTATGTTTACGAGAGACCGGCTGTTGTTAGGATTTTTTTTTCTTAATATTTTTCTGTCTTTTGTTTACCACTGAAGTTTGCAGTCAATATCCTCAATTCTAGACCAGACTTCATCTCATTGAAGCTCATGATTTTTTTCCTAATTAGTCATAACATTTTTTTTCACAAAAGAAACAATAGTTCGAGGATAGGAAAATGGGTAGTAGATAATGGTATAATTGTATTGAAATAATATAGAGAGAAACTCAAGTTCGAGCTCGAATTTATTCAAAAATTTGATTCAAATTCGATTGAGTTTTAATTTTTAAATTCAAGTTCAATTTAAGATAAAAATTGAATTATTTGAACTCAATCAATTAAACTTGTTTATTGAATAAAAAGTGAGTTTAATTTTCATACTTGAGTACTCAAGCTCAAATTTGAATTGATATATATATATATATATATATATATGTGTGTGTGTGTGTGTGTAAAATAGTATTTTCCTAATTAACATAATAAAAAAATATATTAAAATATAAAATATTAACTAAGTTCGTGAGTTACTCGAATCAGGCATTAAAATGTTCGAATTTGATGTCTTGATAAATTGAACTGCTTGAGCTCGATTTAATAATAATTGAATTGAATTCGAATAGTTTACAAATATAGATATATCATTTACATCTCTAATTGCAATTGTTAAAACTTAAATTCAAATCGGTTAAATACCAACTTTTAAAAATAGTTTCTTCAAAATAACTATTTGAACCAACTTAGCTAACTCTTAATTCTTTTAGGCATATTATTAAGTGCATTGCCTTTTTCTAATGATCAAGATTTGATGTGAATCTTATTCCACACAAAATACAAATAGAAATTACAGAGGTATAGTTTTTAGTATTTAAGTTTAATGCTATAGGGGAAGTAAGGCCATCTAACAATACAATTAAATTAACATAATCTAGCATTGAAAAGGAATAGGGTAGGGGGAATTATTTAAGAGAAAAAAGGAAAAGAAAGGATCAAGGGGGTATGATAAGAATAATTATACAAAATAATTAAAGTTCATATCATTTACAATTAATTGTATATAATTATGAAATTTCAATAATCGATAAGTGTAAATCCAAATACGTTTTATTTAAATTCATATAAATTCTGGCTCTTATTTAGTTTATATGATTGAAGTTAAGTAATTAATATAATCGTAAATTAAATAAATTATAACTGAAATTTAAATTTTAATATATTTAATGTTTTTATTTTTATATTATAATTTTTTATAAAAAAAATTAAATCAATAATAAATATAAGTTAGGGTTAGGGTTTAAAACTGAAATAGTAATTAAAATGGCGGCCTATATATCATGTAGGATTGGCTCAATTAACACAGATTTTGTATTTCTTTGAAATGGTGGAGTCCTTCATATCATATTTAGAAATAAAGACAATTGGAAATTATAAAAAAAAAAAATTGATTTATTAATGGAAAAGGAAAGAAAGTAGGAACCCATTGATGGAATCTCTTTACACGTTATTCAACTTGCCAAATTCAGGCTCATGTCATGAGCTATTTATAAATATCCTTAATTATTAATTACAGAGTTTAATTGTGATTTTTTTTTATTTAACATCAAAAGGTTTTGGGTGTCATCCACTACATCTTTTCTTTGGATCGATATAAACAGATTTATTTATGCTGAATTTAATAAATTTATAAGAAATTATTTTTTCATAATCTTTCAACAAATTTAAACTCAGACCACAAAGAGAAAAAATGCATTTTCTTCACCACTTAAGTCAATCCTCCATCCATCGGTAATTATGAATTTTTTTTTTCAGCTGAATTAAGATGAATTTAATTTTCAATTTTTCTACCAATAAAATTTTAATCTAGTGATATTAAAATCAACTTTAAAACTGAAAGTGTAGAGTTCAAATTTCAATCATAACACTAAAAATAAAAAAATAATTCAAATTTAATTTCTTAGTGGAATTGAACAACAGGGTGGAAGTTAATTGCAGAAAAAGGTGGCACAAATAGAAATCATTAATCATGCAAGTAATTGCTTAGCCAACAAGTTATGAAGAATTAACAGTCCATATTAACTATAATGGGTTGTTAAATTATGTCAACTCAAAAAAGTTGGTCCTTATGTTGTTTGCTTTATGCCCCTCTTTTGAAGGATGTAATCCAATCGAACTATAATTAGTGCGTGCTTCGTTAAGATTATTATGCCAAAATAATATTGTTCGCAGAATAAGAATTTAGACCATTACAGTACAATCAAGCTTTTATAAAAGATTCTCAATTTGATCATGTTTGCATGAAACTAGTACAAAAAGTTTATCGCACCTAATTACTTGATTTGTGCATATAATTTTTTTTTAGAATAAGATTAAAATATCTTATTCTTCAAATAAAAAATAGATAATTGATAGATAGTTTAATTGGTAGCTATTATATATATAATTATATAATATATAAAAAATCGGTGAAGAAAATATAAAAGGATATTGAATTATACTAATAAATTAATATTGTTCCAATCTTAGTTTCCTCATCATCCAATTTCAGCTTCTTTTTCTCTACCTTTAGAAGTATGTAATTTTTCTCCATGGTGGTAGGAGACACGGGACCTTCTTACCTAAACTCCATTCACATGATTTCTCACAATGTTGCCTAGCTATTTTGCAACCATCCTTTTTTTTCCCCTTTTTATAAAATAGATCATAATTTGAAGATTAAAAAAAAGTTATAGATACTAAAATTTTAAATTTCAAAGTTGTTAAATGTCATTTTTTAATTATGAATGTATAAATTAATTGAATTAAATTCTAAATTCGTAATAATTATTTCCTTAATACTTGGAATTGTTTTTTTTTTTTGTTAATAAATTAATAGTTATTGAGGCATTTTCGAGGAAAAAAAGTAATTCTAAAACCAAAATGACTCCAAAGCAGGAAAATTATAATGCTTAATTAGATAAGTAAAGTAACCCATCATTTATAAGCTAGGATGCATGTATGCCTGTCGTCAGAACTAAGGGTGTAAATAATATATTAGTATTCGCAAGCTACTCAGGTTTGATTCAAAAAAAATTTGAATTCGGTTCGATTATTATCGAGTCGAGCTCGAGTTCGAGTAGCTCAACTTATCGATCGAGTCGAATTCGAGTATTCTTATATCCGGCTTGAGTGACTCGCGAGCCTAATCGAGCTTTTATATTTAAATATATTTTTATTATTTTAATTAATAAAATATTTTAAATTCGAGTTCGAGTTCGAGCTCGAGCATAAATAATCGAACTCTTGTCGAGTTACGAATCGAGCCTATTTTTACATATTAATCGAACGAGCTCGAGTAGCTCGAATTTGATTACGAATCGAGCTCGAGTTTGAAAAATAAAACTCGATTGAGTTCGAGCCAAGTATCGAGCCGCGAGTTGTGAGCCGAGCTCGAGCTCGAGCTCGAGCTTCTCACTATATCGACTCGACTTGACTCGATTACACCCCTAGTCAAAACTAGGATTTCCCTTTTTATAATCTAATTTTAATGAAAAAGATTTAATTACTAGTAATTAAGATGAAAAATAAACTTTTAGATTTATTAATGATATTTTAGTAATATTTTAATATTATTTTAAATTGATGATATTATTTTAATTATATTTCAATAATATTCTAAATTGATTTAATATTAATTTAGAGAATATTAGATATTGATTTAGTTGATTATAAGAATTAATTTAGTCATTATTTCTATTTATTGTATTTTTTATTTTGTAACATTTTACCCCTATATAAATAAGCTTTAAGCCTCATTGTAATATATAAGTTATTGCAATAAAGTTTTCATCATTTTTTTTATGGTATTAGAGCTATTTCATAGTTCATTCCAAAGGTGAATCTTTTGGGAATAACTAATATTTGCTTATTCTTATCTTTGGTTTATTCTCATTTCTAATTTTATTTTTGCTTTCGTGTTTCAATTTTTATTAGGTTTCTCTTCTCATATTCAAGATTCATTGTTTATATCAATATTCATAACTTCTCAAATCTCTATTTTATTTTTTTTTCAAGAGTTTAATGACAGGTATTCAATGAAAAAATATACAACTAATTTTAATTATCCTTGAAGGAAATAATTACAATAGGTGGGGTACAACTATGCGTAGTTATCTAAAGGAAATGAAATTATGGTTTATTATTACTGAAGAACGTAAAGCACCAGAAAGAAAAGAAGAAGAATTTGATAATAAATTTATAAACCAACTAGAGGAATCAGAAAGTAAAAATCATCGAATTCTAACATGGTTCACTAACACCACTATTTTTTCTATTAATGTACATCTTGGGCGATTTGAACTTGCTAAGGATGCTTGAGTTTTTTTGCCACATGGTATAGTTTTACTATCCTTGCTTATCAATATCATATTTTGATCACTTTATCTCATTTTCTTCAAGAACCAGGTTGTCGATTGATATTTTCATTCTAAAATGTAACATTTATGGGACATGTTTAAAAATTTTGAGCCGAAATTCAAATATGAAAGTGATGATGGTAATTTTATTATTTATCAAAATCAAATTCATCTTATTCAATTTCTAATAGCATTTTAAGATGAATTTAAGAATGCCAAGTCTTCACTTTTATGTCGACATTCTTTACCAACTATGGATAAGGCTCTTATGGAATTGATATATGAGGAAACTCGATTGGGTATAAGTCAAACTTATAGTGTTGATATTATTGTTGCTGTTGCTCTTTAGAAAAATAGTAGCTATACTTTCCATAAGTTTTGTTCACGATGTGGGATAACTAATCATCTCGTTCA